CCCTCTCCCCCTACGAGAACTCTGACGACTGCTGTTGGACGACAGCGAAAATGCACAGCAGGCATAATTTCCTTCGTCTGTTGCAAAATGCAAATGCCGGAGTTCCGGCACAGCTTGGCCCGCCGTGTGAAGGAAAGGAGCTGTGGCTCTGTGAGTCGTTTCCCCGGAAACAAACTGTTAACCCCTCGCCGCTCTCCCACAGAAGTCGGAGAATGTGACTTGTGTGGGAGAGGGAAGGAGATGTCCGCCTGAGGCCGGCCAAAGCGAACTTTTAACGCATGCCCCGGAGGCACTTAACTGTTTCATTCAAGGCCAAAGTATCTCATGCAACTGCTAGATGTATACCCAGTCAGCTCAGTGACATCAGTCGCTTACAAATGGAGTCCATAGACGTATACCTCGCAGTGCTCGCAAAAACAAAAAAGAAAAAAAAAAAAGATGTAGATGCGGTCACTCAGTCCCTGACAACTAGATCTATATTATATATCAGATATTATACATAAATTTAGCTGCAAGGTTCCTGACCACGGCGGCACCCAGCAGGGCCCAGCCGCCTGCACCATAACGGGACCAGGCCCTAAGTGAAGGAGGCTGGGCCGTAAAAGCAACTGCTGGCAGCAGAAGTAACTGCCGTGCATATGGCACATGGCACATTGCACATGCTGCTTTGGAAGGTTCTCGTCAAAGCGGTTAACCCCGACGAGGCAAGCACGCCCTCGCTGCATTGACAAGCGCATTGCAGTCAGCTGCGAGGGAGATATTCCTTCGGCGCAGAAGGTGCTCGCCAAGCAGCGCGAAAATTAGCGCAGGAGCAAGAGCCAGGAGAGAGGGTTGACGACAATGAAGGAGAAGGGGGCCAGGGCGTTTTGTCACAGACAATAAAACCCACTCTACTGTGTGTTTGTCTGTGTGTTTAAGACTTTCAAACCAGAACAACCCCCCTTTTTTTCCACCCAAATGAGTACATCCGAAATCGAAACAGCCTTACCTCCTTATATCTTCTACCGAGTTGTATGTGATCTTTTAAAATGATTGTAATTATACTGTTTTGACGAAACGGCCACTTTTTTTTCCATTGTTGCTGTTGGTCTGTGTTTGTGTGTGTTTCGAATTTTCAACATTGCAGCCTCTATTCCACCCAGATGACTACCGTGTTCACCCGAACAGAATGCCCGGTCACTATAGCCGGTTTTTTTGGGGGGGGGGGAACTTTCAGTCCAGGTGCCGCCAGAATGACTGAGCGTTCTATTCGGGCAACAACGGTAGATCCAAAACCGAAGCACCTC